TTCGAAGAGTTAGTAACAGAATATTTGAAAAAACGACGAACAGTGCAATATTATAGTGAAAAAAAAATCATTTTTTCTCTCTCTGTAGATATAAGGACAGAATAGATTTTTCATACAGTTGTGCTTGTACATGCACATCATCATCATGATAGAAGAAAATTGTTTGCATTGTGCGATATTAATACATTTTCTTGAGAGTGAGGGTGAGCATTGTATAGAAAAGCACTACGACCGGTTGCGATCTTTCTTAGGGATCTTGAGGGTGAGATCGAGTATACCATTATCGCAATTTCGGCCTTTTTCAAAAGCCTCAGCAAATGGTTTTAGACCTACGAATAGATACTGTCTGCTTATTGAATACGGTAACCAAAACGAAACATATCAAACACTGTTCCGGTGGGTCCCATAGGATTCATAGCAATGATTGACTCGCAGACCTAGAAAGGTGTGAGACCGAGTAGAGGGTGAAGGTGTAAGTATAAGATTGGTTGAAATCCAAGATACCTACACGACGATCCTTTCGACCTTTCTCAGCGATCCTCATCATGTAAATTTCGTACAGGTATATCGATTCGAAGAGTTAGTAACACTGTATCCTGCATCACGAATGTAAACATCATTTTTTCAAGCTTTCACTCTCTCTCTACCACTGTCGATGGATACATAAGAGCATAAGAGCGAACGTATCAATGTAAAATCGCAAACATTCATTCAGTTTGACTCAAGTACTCATTCATATCCCTTCTCCAATTGACAACCGCAAAATGAACAACGACAATATAGTGGCTTATTTATTTCTTATATTGACAGTAGTGGCAATATGCTGCCACGCAAAAGCAAGCGGCGAAGATTGGCAAGACATCAGACTTCAAAACGGCGACCTAAGCCCCCTTCCAATGTGGCTCGAGCAATTCGTTAACAAACGTGGTTGTCGTGCTGATGGTAGTAGGTGTAGTCGTGATCGTGATTGTTGTGCTCCTTCTAATTGTCTTCGTTACGATTTTGGTCCTTTTGGTATTTTTCATCGTTATCGTTGTGGTCTTTATGGTTCTGGTGGTGTTTATGTTCCTGGTCAACGTGGTAACTTTGATCGTGGTCGTGATGGTAGTCCTCCTCGTTGCGGCGGTGATGGGCATCGTTGTGGTCGTAAATAATCCAAATATGTGAATATAGTGTTTCGATGACAACCTACCGTACTTTTTTCTTCGTAGAAAACATGGCACAGACATACGTTCTCATCGAAAATCGAATGTTGCCAACAACTATCATCAACATCAACTGACATTATCGACTAGTTAGCATTCTCTAGTATTCTCGACTAGTTTTCTCTTTATTTTTTCTATATTTTTCATAATTTTCATTTCTAATAAAATATAGACAGTGGAAACGTACCCTACTTAACTCGTTGCAAACCGCATCAAATATTTACAGTAAGGGGTTTCGCTCTTCGCCAATAGGCCTTTGATCAATTGTCACAGAACAGTATGGATGTAGCATATATATAAGAACTATGTCAAATATTATGAAAATACATCTTGAAGATTGTGCTTAGAATATATTGGAATATGATCGAATCGTCTTTAAGTTAAAAAAATGCTGGAATAGATAAGGAATAGTAGAAAGTATAGTGTCACATGATGCAAGAATGAGAAAAACAAAACTAGTGAAAGAAAAAAAGTGAGAATAAGATGAACTGAAAAAAATTCATCAGCAGTAATTCAATCTCAATTTGGTGATGAACTGGACGAAGACCTACTACGTTTTATCTTGGTGGCTTTTCAAAAGTATAAAGTGGGCCGAGCTGTGCGGAAGCACCTTAACAATAATAGTTCTTTGCGAAAATCCATTATTCTGACTACCATTTTGAAAATCGAAAATTTTTCTGAATATGTGATGTTGTTTAGTTTTTTCTGCTCTTCCGAATGAGATGTTGATCAAAAACTGTCAATGTAATCATATGATACTGGAGTTAAAGTCGATAATAATGAGACAGGCTGTAGTGAGTCCTCTTCATTTGTTGATAACGTTGTTGTCATTAGAGTAAGAGTTCAAGGCGAAGACGAATTTTATATATTTGTGGCTGTAGATGGTGATGGAGGGGACGAAAGACGAGCTTGGTACCAATCACGATTCTGTTCTAATGTTTCCAAAATAGCACTTGCATCCGGATAAACTAAATCCGCCCATGTTTCCCATAATGGACGTACAATAAATTCAATGAAACCAACTTGATTTTTTTCAACATTAGCTACAAGTCTGTCACACATAGGTGATATTTCTAATCTAAGGTCACGTTCTTTATCACCTTGTCTCCAAAATTCTTCCATTATTCGATCAGTCCATTTTATATAAATATCTAATGGTTTTGTTGGATTTGACAAATCCGCACAATGAATCATATTTTGAAGCACCAAAATTCTATCATCATATGATTCAAGCGTAATTACATTATTTTCTGTAACTTTTTTTGATTCAACCATTGTTTTTAAATCTATCAATAATTGTCTATGTTTAGACATATCTGTTGCTAAAACCATATCAGTAACTAATTTATGCAGAGTTTTCATTTGTTTAGCTGTTAAATTTGAAAATATGTTTCTTTCATTAGCTTGTAGTAATTTAAATGCCACAGCTAACTGATGATTTTGAAGAACACTTTCATCATTATACATCGTGGCTAAGTCACTGTCTAAAAAAAATCGAATAAAATAATTATTACTATGATTATTATTTTTTTTGTGTACTTGTACTCATTAAAAATTGATTTTTTACACCGGGATGATCGACATCATGTACTGCCGATGCGAATATTGCCGACATAATTTCCAATTCAGTAAATACACCCTTCGAAAAAGAATAAAAGATTTTGTTCTAAAATTTCTTTTTTTTTGCTTACATCAAGTGTCGAAGCATTGAGCAAGACATGCATTGATTGACAAACATCAGCTCCATGAGTTTTATTATGATATGGTACTAATTGATAATGATCTTCAAGTGTGAGCAAATAAGATATTAATGTATGAGGTTCGATAGCATATATTCCAAAAAGTGAACGTTCTTGAAATATTCGATATGTTATTACTGTTAATGGTCGTTGATCACTTAAATCTTCAATACGAAATATGTCTAAACCCCAATCATTAATACGAGTAAGTAAACAACGTAATTCTTCAAGATGTGGTGTATCAACACCTAATTCAGGTATTGGATCTGTTATTGTATGCATTGTTGTATGTATTGGTTGATCTATGTAAATGGAAGCGATAAGACTCAACGGATGAATTTGATAGATCTGACACTATTTAGTTTTAGAAAATGAGTACCTTTACCATTCTTTAATGATAACTCAGGTCGAACCCGCTACATATCACTCTGTTCACATCTTCAACGGTCGCGCTACATTCATCTAACAATTATTTGATTTTCTTACAATTAAATGCAAAATATTATACATATATTCTCTTTCTTCTTATCTTTCTCTTCTGACTTCTGTTTGACATTGTATGACGTTTATACTCCTTTTCCTATTCTTCTTCTATATAAGCATGATGTATTGTTTCAAGGACGTGTGTATTTTTTGTTTGAAGAATAAAAGACAATAATGTTATAGAAAGCTCTAACAAACTCACGCAACTTTTGTTAGATTATGTGTACTATCACACTTAAGCAACAAACAAAAACAATTTAGAAAACCATCAGATTGTATTAGATGCATCACGCACGATTATATTTTTTATTTGACCGTACAGCGAGGAAGACATTCTCATAGCACCGAGAGAGATTTGGGCTTATTCTTCACTTTTTAGGAATAGGACAACCACATCTAACTCAGCAAATATTAGAAATGATCACAAAAAACAACACTACTAATGAAAAAGCACAAAAATTCCAAGTTTACAGAACGAAAACGCCTGCATTTTTCGTTTCTGTATAGTTTCTTCGGGGGAAACGCAAATTTATCTGATTTCAAGATAAACAGAATGAACACTTTTAATCCAATAGTATCATGAAACATATGAAAGTCGAAGGAATTCTCTTTTTTCTACCTGTTGATAGATTATTTGAACTTGAACCAAGCACTGGTTGTAGGAGAGGATGGACTGGGTTTATTTCTTGCAGTTGAATGATATGAAGGCCATCGGCTTGATCGAGACTGTCACCAACTTTGAACTGAGTAGCTGCAAGAAGTAGTATTTCATCTTCTGATGGAAAATAAGAATGCTTTCGAATATCTTTGCCCGAACTACATGTAACAGCAAATATTGTCCTCTCGCCTGTTTTGTCCAAGAAAATCTCTTCGTTCAAAACATCGATCGAGGTTGTACAAGAAGAAAATGCCCACCAAACGATGGTATTGCCTTTCGGATATTCGTTGCGAAAATCCGCTTTGACTCCGCGAAACACTGTTGCATGTTCTGATGGAAGTCGTTGCAAAGCAGTTAGAAAAAGTTTCAGATACAGTAACCATGGTTTGAGATTTTCTCTATCTTCTGATCGAAGTGAGGCATTTAAAGCGACATAGAGACATTGATCACGTGGTATCCAATCCATCGAATAGAGCATAATCGAAGCAGATTCATCGAGTGTTAATCCATCAGCTGGTGGATTTTTGCATCGTTCTTTAGCGGTAACCGAATACATTCGAACGGCAGGCAAAAGAGGAACAAGTGCCTCGACAGCATCTTCAAGTGGTACGATTGGCATATCTGCATAACCAATAATTGGTGCATGCATTTCGCGTGGTTCTTCAGTTACGTCCGTAATACGACGAATGCGTTCAGCAGCCTCTCTTTTCCCATTCGTGCCCATGCTGGACGATGAGAGATTTTAATAATAATCTAAGAAAGACTTCTACAAGAAATAAAGAAAGAACTGGATATCAAGTTTTCTGATCACCAGAAAAAAATACTTTTGGTCACCAAATTTTTCACATACATCTTACATTTTTATTTCTCAACAAAGTTTAGTGTACAACACAAACATATTTATTGAGATTTTAGCCAAATGAACAATATTTTTATAGTTTATTTATATCTATTTAAAACATCCAAAGCTGTGTTAACTTTCTTGGGACGCCCTTTTGCTTTTCGTTTGCCTAATAGCTGAATACGTGTTCTGCCAGTACAATGTTTACACGAATATATTAATAATCGTATAATAAGCCAACAGGATTGCTGGCACGCCAGAAAACCATTGAATATAACCCACCGATGAGAACGATAAATACCTAGCCAGTGATACATTCAATAGTTTTCTTACGATCCTGTTGGCTTGTTTACCATTATTAATATATTCGTTAAACTTTCTGTTGGTAAAACACATATTGAGCTATTGAGCAAATGAAAAGCAAAAGGGCGTCCCAAGAAAGTTAACACAGCTTTGGATTTTTTAAATAGCATATCACCGGAACAAAACAAATACAGTTAGTTTTGAGTTGCTGAAAAATGCGCTGTCGTATTCACCACACTCAATAACCCAGAAGATTTTCTATTTTTGGCCAGGGGTATTTCCGAAAGTTTAAGAAAACTTTTCAGCAACTCTAAACCAACGTTATTTTTTTTCCAGTGATATGATATACATAAACTATAAAAATATTGTTCATTTGGTTAAAATTTCAATAAATATGTTTGTGTTGTACATTCTACTTTGTTGAGAAATAAAAATGTAAGATGTATGGTGAAAAATTTGATGATCAAACGTATCTTTTTTTGGTGATCATTTGTATCTAAAGGTGTTTGATGATTAAAAGTACATTTACTCGAAAGAACTACTAATCATGATGGGTGCGTATCGACTCATACAGTTTTATTCGTCCTTATTTATTTAGCCGTATTTACAATCAAGAAAAGTCGTCTATTTGGCATCTTTTTTTCTGGGCTTTGTCTAATCTGTATAATAGATTTTAAAACTCTCTGTGGAAGTCTTCTAGAAGAAAAGAAAAAGCCAAACTCGAATACGACAGATTCTATATGTCGGATCTCATCGTTGCTAACAACATGAATCCGATCGGAACTGAGTGACTTTGGTGGGCGGACATCAACGGAAAATAGTGTAAGTTATCGAATTACGGATGAACGTATCTGATTGGACTCTATCGTGGTGTGCAACGGAATTTCAAACCTGTCTGATGGGCAGGATTAACTTGAGAGATGTTCTGAGTTGAATGACAAAAATATTTCAAGGCAACAATTTTCATATGAAATAAAAAGAAATCAAGAGAAAACAGGTAAAGTGCGGTAAAGACAAAGGAAAATATGAAACACAGTAGAAAGAAGCAAGGCTAAGTGGTAGAACGAAAAAACCACGCTTCAACATGTACCAAGCTTACTTATTGCATCAATAACAAAAGATGAAGTTGAAAAAAGAATGTTATCATTGACTGGATCTGGCCAATACTCTCAAGAAACGCTGGAGAATCAAATTTCAGATGTCTTGAAAAACATGGAAACAGATACTGAACTTTTTCAGACTCTTTTATGCTCCTATCCGTCACGACTTCGTGCTATAAAAAAGGCCAATGGTGGTTATACTGATTACTGATTGTACTCATGAAACCGATAAAAATAAACATTAGTTTGATATAATCATCATTCTTGAAGACCAAAGCATGAAAGATGATGCTATCTTCAAATAATGATATGTATGTGTATGAAGATTCATCTAGCGCCATTGAACCAAATTGTAAACTAATGATATTTGTAGAGAACCTTACTGACGATAAGAGCCATAAAAATATGGAACGATTTTTCCGAACTTTCTTATCTTCTCGGAGTTATCAACCCGGCATTGTAAAATGTATGCCCAAACGAGCTCGTATTTTGCAATTTTCGCTTTTTTTATTACATTTTTCATCAAAAATAATATCACATTCGTAATCTCCGTCAAAAACTACGTCGAATGAGGTATGAATCAAGATATTTAAATTCAAAAAGCTTTTTTGAAATTTTTTCTCTGTCGTACTCGTACTCCCCAGGATTTTTTCGAAAAAATGTTTTTCGTCAAAAATATACAAATGACATTTTTGATGGAGATCACGAATCTGCTATTAGTTTTGAAAAATATGTACCAGAAGAATGAAAATCGCAAAACACGAGCGCGTTTAACCATAGGATTCAAGAGATTTTCATATTTCAAGAACCAGTAATCGTTGTATGGACTATCGAGTATACTCATAAATTTCATTTTTAATGGGTATTAATTTGATATATCATACTCTGTTATGTCATTTGTAGTTTGAGCGGTACTCCCCTAGAAAAGGGACTCTGTAATGTTATGTTATTACTACATATAAGCAGTCATTCTCACAAAAGAATGAAAGAAATAAAAAACATTATTTGTGCTTTGAGAGAGACTTGTACTTGTTATACTATTTCATTTTCGTATCTTTCGATATTCATTCTTTGTTATAATAGATATATCTATGGCGTAACGATCTCTTTTCTTGTACTTGTTAATGCCTGTGGTATCACTACTTCTTCTTCTTTCACATTTCGTACTATTCGGCCTGTTATATTCTTCTGTTAAAGGTTCGAAAATACTTTTTTACATTTCTCTCTCTTTCTTCAATTCTAATATAAATAGTGATGTCAAGTAATTATTTTGCAGATATCACGTGCATATCATTCTACTGTATGAAAATAAAGTAAAAAGAATCTCATTATTCAAAATCTTCATTCTTTTACAAAGAGTCGACCTTTTTCTATCCAGAAGTCAACTAGATGTTAAACGTAATTTAATGTAATACTGATATATTCCGGTGATATACAGTACAGATTCCCTGCCTTGAGTATGATCGGTGATTTGTTGTACAATAATCCGAACAAGTCAAGACAAGTGCTGGCAAAGAAAAGACTATATAAGCCAGGGTAAGAAAGAATTTGTAAATCTAAAAGAACTATGTTGAATGAATAGTTAATGTTATATTATATAATAATAGTATAATAATAATAATTCCAAATTTCGAATTCTGACCTGATCAAAATTAAAATTCAACTTTTGGCCCGTTAGATGCTGAATTAGCCAGTCAGAGTTAGTTTTTCAGTTTTGTCCGTTTAGATTCTAAGTTTGGCTGTCACAAGCAGAATTTCCATTTTGACCGATTGGCCAGCCAGAGTTAGAATTCCAGTTTTGGCCCGCCAAATTCGGAATTTTCCATGTGTAGACATCTCAATTCTAAGTTTGACCGGCCGAAAGCAGAATTTCAGTTTTGGAATTCAGTCAAATTCGGAATGTGACCGAATTCTAAGTTTGACCACAACATATACATATATGTATCGTATGAATCAATGACTATTTCTGTTTTCTTTTCCAAGTTAACCGGGAGAGTACCAACAACTTTTATGACAATGATGTGCTGAGAAGAGCAAACAAAAGGTAAAAGAGGTACTGTGCCCAAGTGTTTGCATTATTTAATGATAAACGTGTAACCTCTCATCCAAATTATTGCAGTACAATAATACAGCTAGAGTACTTAATAGAGACTGTGTGAGAAAAGTAATCATGCTGGTCATATGTTGCTAATAAAAAGAAATCAAGAGAAAAAATGTCTACGTCTTACGAAATGTGTGAATGATAGTCGTTTCTTACGAACGCCGTCTCATCTCTAGTCAATACCTTCCCGAAGCAAAATAAAAAAAATTCTAAGTATATTTTCAAGAAATCAG